CCCCACTACCATTTTAAACATACACAATTTTTTTATTCAAAAAAATAATATATTTTAAAAATAAAAATTATATTTTAATAAAATAAATAAATATATTTAAATTATCATATGCATAAAATATAAATTTAAAAAATTTGTTCATTTATTTGATATTTATCAAACTTTCAAAAGAGATTAGTTTTCATATGAGATAAAGAATATTCATTAATAAAAAATTAATTTTTTAAAAGTTTAATTTTTGATAAAATAATTGCAGCATATATATTTATCTTTTGTACTTTCTATTTATGTATACATTGATTAAAAAAATAAAAATAATAAAGATTGTAAGATTTATATTTTATTTATAATTTTTTATTATAAAATATGTTTTGAAATAAATTATCATCTAAAATATTATATTAGATATTAAAAACATGTTTATATTATAAATAAATGAAACTTGATTTTTATATAATTTAACATATTTATTTTTATGTTTTTATTAGAATTAAATTATTATAAAATATATTTTTAAGATTGTAGTTCTAACCGAACATTTAAAGATATTTATGATAGATAAATAAGTCATATTTAGGACATGACATGTATTTTAAAAAAAAGTTAGGTTCATACCTACTAAATTATAATATAACATAGTCTGACCTAACTTATTTCCATCCTTAATCGTAATAATAGATATAAAAGCTCGTAAAAAATAATTATGATATATATTTATACTTTTAAAAGTTATATGTAAAAGTATATGAAGTAAGGAATAATAAATTGAAGACTCTATTTAAATGTTTGAAGATAAGGTTGTTCCAAAGGTAACATCTTTTGAAGGAAAACCCGATAGCACCAGGAAAAAAAAAAGTTAACATAACTTAAAAACTAAGCTAACCTTAACGAGCCTATTTTGAAGACTATAAAAGGATGACCAATGCTACATTTTTAAAGCAAACAAGACCAAAGAGAGAAATCAAAACACAAGTTATTAAAGTTGTGATCCTTACTTCATATTCTATTTTTCAAAGAACTCCACTTCTACATTTATATCAATCTTGTAATAGACAAACGAAATGTGAATCTTCCTTGGTAAACGCTATAGTTAAAAGATTCTATTGTAATCATAGTAAAAATTTATTAAAAAAAATGTGGAAAAAGTAAAAAAAAAAAAAAAAAAAAAGGAAGGGGAAGGCAGGTCGCTATGGCTCATAGCGACACATGGTCGCTATGGACCCTAGCGCCTCTGGTAGTCCATAAAAAATATATAAAATTTATTTAACAAATATATATTATATAAAAGAAAAATTTATTTTTAACAAATCTAGTTTTTCGTAAATATTTTTTAAAAATATATACATATATTTTACAATATATTTTTTTCTATGAAAAAAGATTTTTTTTTTTATATAATTAAGCTATTTTAAATGGTGAAGGAGCCTATTGCGACATTAGTAAAATCGTTGCAGCCAGTAGCAACTTCTACGTGGCTAAGTTTAAACTATTTTTAATGTTTGGTCTGACCTATTAACCTATTTAAATTATTAATATTAATTAGGTCAATAAACTTAATTTTTAAAAATTAATAAAATTATTTTTAAAGTATAATTTACTCAATATTGTTAAAATTAAAATTTTAAAAAGAAATATAAGAGAAAAATTGAATACTTTTTTGTTGAAGGGACAATTCATGTATGTTGATATACATTCATGCATAAGTCATAAGTTTATAAACCTATAATAAAACTTTTTTATAAAAAATATTTTAAATTTTAATAATTTATTTTT